CCGCGTGACCCTCATCCGAAAGGTGGCATTTTGTGTCACGGGGTGTTTGTGGCTCGATGTGTAGTTGAAATTCAATCAGTCAGTCACTGTACGGCTGCTTGGTGTGTCATTTGTTGTTGATGTGGTTACCTTTCTCTGCATTTACCCCAGGAGAGGCGTCGGTGCGTTGTTTTGTCGTGCAAAGATTTACTGGAACTTGCGCCTCTCAGCCGACACATCAAACTTCAGCAAATCCCGAATTATTTCTGCTTTTTAAATTAATGTTAGCTGGGGTGGGGGAAGGGGTGGGGGGATAAAGAGGAGGGGGGGGGGGTGGTGTTGGTTCTCTCCACATCCATCAGCAACCAAAAGGGGGCTCCGAAACCTAGACAAGGGAAGCAAATCGCTGTAAATACTGGTAAAATAGTTAAAAAAAATCTTATCGAGAGAGAGAGAGAGAGAGAGAGAGAGAGAGAGAGAGAGAGAGAGAGAGAGGGGGGGGGGGGTGGGTGGAATAAGTGGTTTCGAGATTTTGACTGATAGACACGATAATAAATTTTCGAAAACATTAGTTGACAGCGACAGACATCGTTACATAATGAGTAGCTGGGTCAATTTATGTATAGTGATACAGACAGCAAAAAAAAAATATTTACTTCTGTTGAGCAGGGTTGAATGAAAGACCGATACAAACATCGGAGGTGTAATAAACATGTTTGGTTGAATGTGAATCAAATCAACAAACGGCCCTATCCACACCAATGGTGTAACGGACACATAATAATGTAAAGCACTCCTTTCCATGCCCTCAGGCTTATGGGCATATAGGGCTAGACCTGTATTTGATAGGCCAGTCAGTCCTCGGTGGGTGCTACTGTAAACACCAAGCAGTCCGCCTTTATTTCCCAAACTACTTGGTGCCCGCTGAAGGCTGGTCTACGTGGAAGCCAAAGTCATTAAAAAAAAAGTCAGGTGCCATTAGAATTTAAACTCACGACATTCGCATGCGCTTGTGAGCATCTAGTCACCACATCTCGATAGCTAGGGTACTATACTCATAACCTTACAGATCTCAGTGAATGATGAACATCACGCGGTTTGACTCTCCACCTCTACCCCTACCCTCCTTTTCCCCCAGAGCTTTACCCGCTACCCCAGGCCCGGCTCTCTAGCGGAATTGGCTAAACCGGATTTCGCGGAGACCGGGTGACGTACTCCTTGTGGTCCGGGTTCAATCCCGGGGGTAGTCAGGAAAGCCACATTTTCTCCCAGATTGACGGTATTTACAATGGAATCAAGGCCGAAAGGTTGCGATATCCATAATACCGAGCCTAAGGGTTAAAAACTCATGGCTTCTGGATACTAAAACAAACACCCGCTACCCCATGTGGGGGACCCGTTATGGGTGACAGTCAGCTATGATGCGGTGTTGAACCGTATTGTGACTACTTAGCGTCTGAAGGGGTTGTATAAGAAGGATTGGTAACGTATGGCTACTCATTCACCTGGAGACCCAAAGATCTCAGGGTCGAATCCGCACAGGGGAAGATTGTGTGCAGCTGATCTAGGGCTCGTAGATCCATCTCACTCAAACTGTCATGGGTTGTACTGGTTGTGGGTCGGATCTTGTGCAGATGAAGCTTTCAGTGCCCACTGGTTTGTACAGACACGGGTTTAGCATCATGTACCCGATGCGCCGGCAATAGAAACACGATTGTTGTTTCATTACGACTGCTCTGGCGTACAGGTTTTGTGATGTTTGTCTCATTTGTTTTTTAGAAACAGTAATTGAGTATCTACTGCAAATATATATTAGTTGAGGCCGCCACTGTGTAGCAGCTAGACGCTCGCTTACGGATCCGAAGCTCATGGGTTCAAATCTGCATGGAGCCAGCGTTTTTTTTCCCTTAAAATACGTGACTTGGTTTCCAAGGTCGACCCAGCCCTAAATGGCTACCAGGTGAAGTCCTGGGAAGTAAAGGTGGCTAGCATGATGTTGACGACATAGCCTATCGAAGTGACTGGTCTATAAACAAATGTCTAGCCTCCTTTGTGGCAAAAAACACACGTGTTTCAAGGGACTTTTATATTTGACTTTGATCTTGAAAGCAATTCAGGCCTCTTTTGCTTGTTTGAACATTTACGGTGCCCAGTTTAGTAAGGGTCGAGCTGGGTTCTGATACAATTCTGCTGTTAAATTTCTGCTTGAGATGATTATGTTAATTATTTATTTTTTTTAAAGTTATTGTTATAAAACATTGCCAATGTTTGTTTTCGGAAACGTTAGCGTTACAAGGGAGATAAATTAGAGCGATAAAAACCTAACTATTTCGAGTTATGTCCCCTGGACATAATAAACAAAGTGGGAGAAAAGACTAGACGTGGGTTATACGAATACATGCATACATCAGTAGGTATACTATATCGCACTTAGAATTGCAAATATAGACAAGTCAAGGAGAACTACTGAACACTATACGCCGAAGCAACAAGTAAGATCCCAGATTTGGCCCACCTACACAATTCGAACGCGCAGACCTACAACAACTATAAGACGTTGGGGTTAAGGGAGTGAGAAAAAAAAAATATTTAAAAAAACACAGAAGCAATGGTTATATCAAAAGAGAATATAACTCCAAAATGTGACATAGCAATAGAAGGGAAAGTGCTTAACCAAGTCAAAAAATTTTACTATTTTGAGACATTCATAACATGAGATGGACGATGGCCAGACAAAGGCAGAATTTCAGAAGATAAAAAGTATCTTATGTAATAAATCACTCACATTAATGAAACATCAGAAACGAGTACTGAAATGTTACATCGAGCCTGTTCTGTTGCACAGTGAGAATCTTAGAATGTCAGCAAAAATAAATTAAGAAGAATTTGGAGGCAAATGAGATGATGTTATTGAGAAGAGTGAATAATACCTTGGGCTATCAAATAAAAACGACAATGATTGCCTGGAAATAGCTTCTAAAAGTAGAACTTTATATACGAGTAGAACAATGAGAAGGAGACAAAGTTCTTTGGTCGTGTAATGAAAAAAAAAAAAGCACTGGAAAATATAGTGACGACTGAAAAGATCTCTGGTAGAAGAGGCAGAGGTAGACCAACTTATTCCGTAGCTGTAGCGACCATCTCCCAGAGATTTTTTCAGCGAAAGTGATCCAGAACACCAAAGACCCAGATCTGTGGAGATGCATGAACGCCTACACCAGATGGCAAGGCACTTAATGATGATAAGACCGCTGAGGGAAAGGTAAAGTTATTAAAATAGAAAAATAGAGATTTACGCAGGTGTACATTTAAACCACAGATTCCTGAATGCAGTGTATGGGGTGGGTGTATTGGGTGGGTGTACGGGGTGGAGAGGTGAAGCAGGGAGTGGTGGGTGTATGGGGTGGGTGTACGGGGTGGGTTGTTTGGGGTGGAGGGGTGGAGCAGGGAGTGGTGGGTGTGTGGGGTGTGTGTATGGGGTGGCGAGGTAGAGCGGTGGAGCAGGGAGTGGTAGGTGAATGGGGTGGAGAGGTGGAGCAGGGAGTGGTGAGTGTATAGAGTGGAGAGGTGGAGCAGGGAGTGGTGGGTGTATGGGGTGGAGAGGTGGAGCAGGGAGTGGTGGGTGTATGGGGTAATTGTATGGGGTGGGTATAAGGGTGGAGAGGTAGAGAGGTGGAGCAGGCAGTGGTTGGTGTATGGGGTGAGTGTATGGGGTGGGTGTATGGGGTGGGTGTATGGGGTGTGTGTATGGGGTGGGTGTATGGGGTGGAGAGATGGAGCAGGGAGTGGTGGGTGTGAATTATAAAAAGAGAAAATAAAATGTTTTGAAAGCGTGAACAATTAAGACAGGAGAATAAAACTATTCAACGTGCAATTCCGTTCCTATTTGGTTTCAGCTGCTGTGTCACCAGCAGTTGTCAAGTAGTTTGCCTCATGGGTGCAACCATTTTTACGGTTAGCTCTGGGAGATGGTCGCTAATGCAGTGGAAGGAGTGCTTTGTGACATATCCGGGATATGGGGAAAAGTTGGTGGTGGAGGGGGAGGGGAGTTGGGGATGCTTCGTATTTTTAATGACAGTATTTTTTTTAAAGGGCATAGTCTCCGCAAAAGACTGAATGTAGGCTGTAATGCTGACATTTCCAGTAGCATAAATGTTGTAAAAATATCATATTCTTCCACTCTAACGTCCAATTTTTACCTGATCCAAACTATATTCCTAATCCACACTCCCTTAAACATATTGTTGCAGTGAATATCGTCAGTCATAAATGGTCTTCACAGTGTTTTGTTTTTCATCAAAAGTGTTCCTGTCTCACTTTTGTAGCCCAAACTCCGCCGGGCATACAAATAGGCTAGAACTGTGAAGAGGTGCACAAAAAACTGGAGTTACAGTCTAGAAAAGGACGAACAACCACAGTTTTCCTCTGTAGTGTACAGCCGCTGAACGTCAAGGGAAAAAATACATAATTAATTAACTAGTTCTTATTGAAACTCTGAACATTCCTTGAAGTGTCTGAGTCATTTTACTCTCTGATTTAATGAGTAAAAGATGACTGTTTCTTCCTTTGATCCGGTCAAATCCTCTCACTCTTAAAACTGGTTTAATCCTTTCATTAATCCCTTTTTGATTCCTTGTTCGTTAATTTACTTTGAGGTGAAGAAGTATTTATGTTTTGACCTGACTTTGTTGTTGTGATCAGATCAAAGTTATAATTTTTTTTTTTTCAGAAAAAAAATATCTCTGCTCATAAGTCGCCAACAAAAAACATATACAAGAAACTTAAATGAGAATGGGGAAAAGGTGAAGCACTATTGTGAACAGAAGAAAAATGTAGAAAAGAGAATGCATTTTTGAATTCGTCTTTTAACAGATAATTGGATCTTCCTCTGACATACAGCTGATGCTTTCATTGATTTAACTTCTAAGGCGCTATTATTATTATTATTATTTTTTTTTTGCAAGCAGTCATTAACACGGCGATTATTATTACCTACTTTATTTATTTCAATCCCTTTTCACTCACCTGCAACAATATGTGATATAAATTGTCATTTGGCATATCCCGTCTGTGTGTACGATTCTGATGCCAACAATTTCTAGCCATGTAATCGAAAGAGAAAGTAGGAACAGGAAGTTGCTGGCTGCCAGCGCGGCCAGATACACATTCGTGGAGACAACGCGCATCTTCCGGGTCATGAAGACGCAAAATGACAGCAAGTTTCCGAACAGACCAAACACACAAATGGTAGGCTGGATATATCTGAAAATAAAATAATGAAACACGGTTATGTAAGAACAGATAAAGTCAAAGGGAATTTAAATTTAAACAAGCTATGTATGTCGTTATATTACCATTAAGATGAAAGAATGAATCAATAACTGACACTACTGCAGTCAGAACAATTCGAGAATATGCCCAGTCTCCTTTTTCATAGCCATTGAAAACTCCTGATGCTCAAAATGCCCGTGTTAACCCTGTCACCCCGAGAAGCTGCAAACCAGATACTTCTAGTCAGGGCCAATTAACCGTAAATGTAAATTTTCCGACCTGTCTGTGCTGACCTGTTTACGAGACGTATAGTTAATGATGTTGGCTGTATTCGCACCTGCGCAAAGGTCTATGATGTCATGGTATGAATATAGGAACTAATATACAGTATTTATGCGATGCGGATGGGGGGGGGGGGGCGTTGTTACTTTCGAACTAAATGGGTTTTCACGCCTAACTGATATTAAATTTTCCCGTAAGCTTCTATGATAGAGGTCACTAGGTTATGGCAAGAGTCACCAATACAAATATTTTCAGGCACCAGGCAATGCATTCCATTTAATGATTCACTTCATTAATGTCATTGATTACCCCAGTTGTATACCTTTATGTACTTCAAGGGAAAAACAATAGGAAAAAAGGTACAGAAACACAAGTTTAACAAATCTATTAGTGACCTGTGTAAAAATGTTGTTCTAGATGGATTTTTACCTTTCGAGTATACTCATTGGGCTGTGACATCCCTTTCCGCCTGACCGTTTAAAAAAAGCCTCATTTAATGTAATTCTTTAAATTTCCCATCTCCGTTGATGAACATCCAGATCTGCTGCTCATTTTGCGCTGAACCGTTCTCATCAGACATGGATGCTTGCTCTATGCTTTTGATGTTTTCACCATATTCTGCTTAGCAACCAGAACATGGCAGCAGTCAGTCCATCAACTCACTCATTCCTTCACAAACCTGTAAACACTCCATACATCAGAAAGATCTGGCGAACCTACCAGGAACTAATGTACAGTATAATCTAGTCATCATCATCATGTAGCAGGTCCTTTGCAGAACGTCGCTCTTATCACAGTCTTCCTAAAAGAAACTCGGTCTCTCGCCAGTTCTCCCGCCTCATGTACTTTCATACTCAAAGAGTCACTTATATCCTGTGCCCAACTTCGTGTCGGTCGGTCCGTGCCCCTCCTTCCTGGTACCATGCCTTCTGCTAAAAATTTTCCCAATCCGTCGTGGCGGTTGATATGACCAAAATATTTCAGCTTCCGAGACAGGATGCTGTTTATTAGCCAATCTTTCTTGATGTTCAGATCTTTTAAAATGTCAGTATTTCTCCTCTTCTTTGTCCAAGATATTCTGAGAATCTTTCTATAGCATTTCAGCTCAAAAGTCCCTATTCTCTTTCTTAAGGACTGAGAGATAGTCCACGACTCACATCCGTATTTAATAACCACAGGTAAGATGCATGCTCTCAAAATTCTTATTTTAATCTCCTGCGTAATTTTCTTATTTACCAGTTAGTTATAACTTGATACTACCTGGAAGTTTATAGTTATTTGTTACATAGTCTCTTTTAAACTTGTCTCAGTTTTCCGCTGTGCTATGTAGCATTTTTCCTTAAATCGTTTACCCGAGTAGCTTAATTTTGTAGCATGTAAAAACGCAATATATAAAATGTTGCCTTGGTCTTCTCAACTCTACTGGTTAGAATTGAAGTGTCAAAACCATAGGGCTCTATGGGTCAGATATGGTTATTTATTACTACAGGAAGGGAAGATAAACATATCAAACTGGTATTGGCACCAGCTGAACGGGATCTCTGTGTTGTCTGTTAAAGATGAGAAAGAAGAACTTCTGTGAATGTCACAATTGCTGTGATGTCAGTTCTGACTGACTGACATTTGACGCCACTAGGACATTACACAAGGGATGAACACCCGATGACACAGAGTGCCACGATGCGGATGATGATCACCAGTGGAGAGGTCCCAGAAACACCTTTCAGCCGTTAGGCATTATCTATGGCTAGGCCATATTTATGCCCCGGCTATATTCAACGCCCCTGACAGAAACCAGGAAGGGGCTTCGAATAACAAAAAAAAATTGAATCCCACATGGGGAGGGCTTTCTGTATAATAAAATAATCAGTTCTCCACTGAGCACTTTCTAACGTGTTGTCAGTATGAGATAAACAACTAGAACATCATCTCTGAACATGAACCAGTATGAGATAAACAACTAGAACATCATCTCTGAACATGAACCAGTATAAGATAAACAACTAGAACATCATCTCTGAACATGAACCAGTATGAGATAAACAACTAGAACATCATCTCTGAACATGAACCAGTATGAGATAAACAACTAGAACATCATCTCTGAGCATGAACCAGTATGAGATAAACAAACTAGAACATCATCTCTGAACATGAGAACCTAGAACATATGAGATAAACAACTAGAACATCATCTCTGAACATGAACCAGTATGAGATAAACAACTAGAACATCATCTCTGAACATGAACCAGTATGAGATAAACAACTAGAACATCATCTCTGAGCATGAACCAGTATGAGATAAACAACTAGAACATCATCTCTGAACATGAACCAGTATGAGATAAACAACTAGAACATCATCTCTGAACATGAACCAGTATGAGATAAACAACTAGAACATCATCTCTGAACATGAACCAGTATGAGATAAACAACTAGAACATCATCTCTGAACATGAACCAGTATGAAATAAACAACTAGAACATCATCTCTGAACATGAACCAGTATGAGATAAACAACTAGAACATCATCTCTGAACATGAACCAGTATGAGATAAACAACTAGAATATCAATCTCTGAATATGAACCAGTATGAGGTAAACAACTTAAACATCATCTGTGAACATGAACCAGTGTGAGAAAAACAACTAGAATATCAATCTCTGGATATGAACCAGTATGAGGTAAACAACTTAAACATCATCTCTGAACATGAACCAGTGTGAGAAAAACAACTAAAACATCATCTCTTAATATGAACCAGAGTGAGATAAACAAGTAGAACATCATCTCTGAATATGAACATTCTCCTGTGTAATAGTTTCCATATAACAGACAAGGTGTAGTATTTTTCATGCAAGTTACCAAGTACCAGTCGGATTCAGTGAACTATTCTGCATATGAGAAATGAGTACCACCAAACTGTGATAACAGCTAGACAACGATGTTACAGTCAGAAGTGAGAAACTGCTCACGGTAATATAGAAGGTAAAGGGAAACCACAACACTGTTTAATGCATTCTATAACAAACTCGTCTCTGAGCTGAAAAGTCAAATAAGTATAAGGAAAACAACAACTCTCTTAATGAAATGAGCTGATGTGGTGGATTTAGACTTGGTGAAGTCCTACGCTGTATCAAGTCCCGAGGCATCAACCGTGTTTAATTACACCAGTTAATCGCGGGAAACTTTCAAATTCATAAGTAAATAAAACGCGGAAGTTGACACATAACAAACTGATTGTTTTATTCAATTTAAATAGGCTATACCAACTTGGGATAAATAAAAGTCAAAATAATATTTATTAGGGAATATTAAAAATAATAATAATAACGTACTATAAGAAATAAGCATTTATTATTAAAAGGAGTTTTGTGGGGCCCCAAGCTGTAGTTTAACCAGCCTGTTTCCAAATCCAGCACTCAAGGAAGCACCACAAATTTCATGGCGATATCTCCTACTTTAGGAAGATTCAAACATATGGCCACTAAGACGGCATGCAAGTACTAACCAATTCGCCACCCATGCTCCCTTCTAATATAGCATACAACCGGTCTTGGCAACCTTCCCTGTTCCCAAGTAGTAAGTGTTTTATTGCCCTGTAGGGCATCAAGCTTTTCCTCTCCACAGCACACAAACTTTCACAGCACATAACCCTTGACAGCACTCCAAACTTTCACAGCACACAAACTTTCACAGAACATAACCCCTTTACAGCACTCAATCTTTCACAGCACATAACCCTTGACAGCACATAAACTTTCACAGCGCATAACCCTTGACAGCCCATAAAACTTTCACAGCACATAACCCTTTACAGCACACAAACTTTCACAGCACATAACACTTGACAGCACTCAAACTTTCACAGCACATAACCCTTGACAACACACAAACTTTCACAGCAAGTAACCTTTTACAGCACATAAACTTGCACAGCACATAACCCTTTACAGCACTCAAACTTTCACAGCACATAGCCCTTTACAGCACTCAAACTTTCACAGCACATAACACTTGACAGCACAAAAACTTTCACAGCACATAACCCTTTACAGCACTCAAACTTTCACAGCACATAACCTTTGACAGCACACAAACTTTTCACAGCACAAAACCCTTTTACAGCACACAAATCTTTCACAGCACATAACCCTTGACAGCACATAAACTTTCACAGCACATAACCCTTGACAGCACATACACTTTCACAGCACATAACCTTTTACAGCACACAAACTTTCACAGCACATAACACTTGACAGCACTCATACTTTCACAGCACATAACCCTTGACAGCACATAAACTTTTACAGCACATAACCCTTGACAGCACAAAAACTTTCACAGCACATACCCCTTTACAGCACAAAAACTTTCACAGCACATACCCCTTTACAGCACACAAACTTTCACAGCACATAACCCTTGACAGCACACAAACTTTCACAGCACATAACCCTTGACAGCACACAAACTTTCACAGCACATATCCCTTGACATCACAACACCATGGCAGTTTTGTAGAGTTCATGTGTTGTCCATGGAAAATTAACCCTCACTCCACCTGCCATGTTTATTCCAAAAGTAATGCAACACTAAAACTTGTGGAATAAAAGCATGCAGCAGAAGTTACCGGATCAGAAGAGCAGTCTGGTTGTCTGTCGGAGTTTCCTTCAGAGACGATCTGCCAACCAAGT